TAAGGCAGTGACGTCACGCAACAGGATTGAACCTGTTCGGCGCGATGCGCGTAAACAACCGCGTATCTCCAATGTAATACTATATGGAGAAATAACTTTTCGCTCTTGCGGGCATCCGAGGCAGCGGATTTGAATGGGAATAATTTTAATCAACTCCTCATTACAATAGCTAAGCGTGTACCAATTTTAAAGGAAATCGCTTCGGCCAATTTTTATCTAGGGGGGGCATAGTGAGTGGGAACAGCAGCTTTATATAGAGTAATAACTTTCTCAAGTCAAGCAAGGAAAAAGTAAAGTTGGAGAGTTCTTTTTCGCAACCGTGAAAAATAGCAAGGTGATTCAAGCATACTGAGACAGAAATTCAATCGTAAAGAGGCGTACCATTGGCGTTCCATATCGATCGAATTTTTCGGTTTGTCAAACTGAACATTCGGTTCTAGAAAGCAAACATTTTGATTTGACCCAGCTGATAGAAAAAGTTTGGTCATGCGATTTGGACTAGATTTTGCTATAGGTAACTACGATTTTTGGCTCATTTCACACACAACATCTGCATCATTAGTTTCGCCACGTAAATAGTTGATTTTGTGGATGAGCCAGCATAAGTAGCCTCCAATTGCAACATGTAGTCCAATTGAACGTTCGATCTTACGAACCATTTACGAACGTTAATTTACCCTTATTAGTTAACGTTGAAAGTTTTCCCTGTGTTCTACGAATCATACGTGATATTTTAAAAGGAAAATATGGACAACATTTTGCAATTTGGAACGACAGTATTCGGCTCAGTTTAGAAGCGACGTATGTGCCGTTAGTTTCCCTATGCACACAAGTATTTTTACCGATGAAACGGATAATGTAGTTCCTTACGGAAAAATCCGGTCCACATGTAGTTCGGTGCTTCATTTCTTACCCCGTTTAGTAGTCGATTGGATCAATTGACAATATTTAAAAGTTTGCAACGCTGTTTTTCTCCATTGAAATCATGCAGAAAAATCTATTCCTAGTGAGGCAGCTTGCCTCTCATAAAATCGATATTTTTAATGGATTTAAATGGAGAAAAAACGGTGTTGCCAACTTGTAAAATAGCCATTGATTGCATCGCTTGTGCGAGGTGATCTACTTTTCAGCTCGGATATTTTCTATTGATCGTGGCCCTTAAAAACAAAAAGAAAATCAGCAATCTTAAAATTTTAATAATAAATTCGAGGATTTACTTAACAGTTTCTACTATGCGTGAAACGATGGTAGATGACAAACCTTTGATGGCACGTTACTGAAAAAAGCCTTTCAAATTTGCACTGTCCTTTAATCGTATGTTTTCATAGTGCATGCTCTCCTTTGAATGTCACGAGCAGGCTTCTTTTGAGATGTGGTACGACAAACACCACAGCAGTCCATGAAATGCGGAAACGAATATTTCTTCACTTCCATTCGTGGTTTGCAGCAGAAGTATTCTTCAGGCGGAAAATACCTGGAAGTAAAACAAATGTTAAAAACCATCAATCAAGTGGATTACATTTTGCAATAAGGAACTACTATCTCTGGCTCTTCCATAAAAACGCATATCTACATAAGGAAACCAATGGCACTTATGTTGTTTCAAAAATGAGCTAAAAATAGTGGTTCCTTATTACAAAATGTAATCCAAGTGTAATTCAGGCGTGAAGTTGGATAACTCCCTAGCAATTACATTTTGCAATAAGGAACCACTATTTAGGCCCATTTTAGAAACATCATACATGCCATTGGTTTCCCTATGCAGATATGTGCTTTTATGGGTGAGCCAGAGATAGTATGGTTCCGTATTGCAAAATGTGATCCAATTGGAGGTATTTCTGCTAAACGGAACCAGAGACAGGTGGAGGAAAAGGGGTGTGTTTATTAGTCGCGGGCCGTCTGAATAAATGGGAATTATAAAGCGCCAGTTACGTCAGCGAGCCGCCGCTGCGGTCGCCTTTGGTCCGTTTTAACTCATGAGCCCTGTTCACAACGCTCTTTTGCTATGCCCACAGCTCATGAGTGCCGCAGCCACATACAGTTGGCGCTTGGTTCCGTTTGGTAGAATGTAAAATCCCGCTTTTCCTTTTTCCCAAAGAGAATCAAGTCCACTTTTATATTTTTTCTTATCCGACTGTCTAGCACAGTCCATCTTTCCCACTCGTCTATAGTTCCTTTTAGCAGAAATATGTCCAATTTAAATGCTTCTTTCATCAAAACAGCACTTTTTAAACTGCGGATTGCAAACCGACATGCTCGCATCTAGTTTGATGTAATATTAGGGGGGGGGGGATTTTGTCCCAATTGTGTTTGTAAATACTGATCTACATGGCGCTCTCGCATCAATGACTCAATTTTAAATTTTTGTTCACTATGAACCTTTATATTTTTTTTTTAAAAAAAAAAGTTAGACATGGTTGCAAATACTTATACAATATTTTCGCCACCGACGCTTCTTTTGAAATTACTTGTCACTCAACAGCTTAAAACTTTAACTTTTTGAGAGTAAAGCTTTGGATGTAGATTTTCCAACCGTGTAGCCTATATAAATCCTGAAAATATAAATCTGAGAGCAACGCGAAAAAATTCCAATTTCGTTGCAACGAATTTCTCTTTTGCATGAAAAACATTTATAAAGCTAAAAAAGAGCTCTTAGTAACGATGTATTCGACGTCAATTTCCTAAATTTCATAGCTACTGGAGAAACAGAAGTTCATTTCCAGTGAATGACTGCAGCGAAATTTCTAAGATACACAAAAAAAATCAATATTCGACGAATGCTTCATCAAAAATTAAAAGCCAATACCTCCCTCAAAAGCTCAGACTTCAAGCTTTTGGTGGAATGCTCGGAATTTTTTAAGTTCCATTGTTATCAAGAAAAAACTTGCTGGTTCCGCTGATTCGCGCGGAAAATGAATCGGCAATCATACGCTCGCGCAAGCGAAAATGCTTACTGATCATTTTTCAAAGTTGTATAAAAGCTCGGACTGGGGAGCTTCAAATCACTTCGAGTCAGATCCTTTCTGTGATCATCATGTGGACTCCAGCGCTGTTGTGTTTGCTCGGTGAGTTTCTCATTTTGTGACTTTTGGATATAGTGAAAAAGTGATCTTCTGTCGAAAACTACTTCAGAAGTTTCGGGTCAAAAATATTTTTCCGTGATTTGCCGCAGACTGATTTTCCCAATTCGATAATTGTTCTAGAGTCGAAGTCATTCAAAAGCTCTCTAGTTATTTATCCGTATCAAAGATCGCGACGTGAAATAATCTGTTCAGCTATTCCAAATGAGGGAATCCAAAATTTGCGGATCCGCTTTAAATCTTTAATTTGTGGCTCTTATTCCACGCCTCCGTGATCGATGTTTGAGCTTAACTCTCTAATGATGATATTTCATGTCGTAAGGTTTACTTTAAATCTGAGGTCTTAATGTCCTATTTGAATGTTCAACAGCTCTCTGTTCAGTGGTCTTTTCAAGTTTTCGAGGGTTTTTCTTGTCTCTCCTGTTACTTTACGTGCTTAACAGTGGCGTGGCGTGAATTGCGATGTATCGATTGGTATGCCATTTAAACCTATGGTAAAGAATCGATTTTTGAGGTGTTCGCTGCGAACACCCTGTTTATCGATACTTTTCCATAGGTTTTAATGGTCAATCAATCGATATATTGCAAATCACGCCACGCCACTGGTGCTTTAGATAGATCCCCTGGAAAAAAGAATTAATATTTGCCCCAGATATGATAATTAATATTAACTCTTCACGAAAGTTCGACTCCCAGGCCACGGTTGCAGCATTTTCAGCGGTGTAATTTTTGTCGTGTTGGGTCACACGATAGAATTTTTATATATTGGAGGAAACGTCTTACCAGTGTCCTCGAGAATCAATCTCTTATAGTTAGTCTCGGCGGCGTAAAATGTATCCCATTCTCGGTTGTTGGAGATTTCTAAAGGCTTGACGGGGTCGCTACCGCTCCTAGTAATTTTGATCCTAAATTCCGTGCCCTGCAGGAGGGGGATTAGAATTTTATGTAACTTTATTTATCCCAGAAGCGCGTTTATTGATCTGGAAAATTTCATACTGCCATAGCTCCGGCTTCATTTGCATTTTTGACGCTTTTCCCTCCAAAATTTTAGTAGAGCCAACTATTATTCTCTTGTCTTGTTCTTCTTGGAACTTGAAGTTTCCAATACGGTTTGTTGAAAATAAATATCTAAATGGGGAAAGTGCAAGGGGCTTCATATTTTTCTCCAGCACTTCCTATGATTCATACATTAGTGGATCCAGTAAATTGGCAATATTGTCATTTCTCCATTTAAACCTATGGAAATGTATCGATTCTTGGAGGGACCAGGTGCTCCGACAAGAATCGATTATTTAGCATAGGTTTAAATGGAGGAAATCCGGTGTTGCCAAATTGCTGGATCCGCCTCTGGATTAATACGTCATGGGATACGAAATTAACATCAAAGGAGGGCAAAAATTATATAAGAGAAGGAAATTGGATCCACGTGACACTTCAGGGCCGTTCTAAAAAATTGTGTGGAGGAGGGGGGGGGGAGGAGATCCAAAAGCTCATTTGATCAAGAAGCTCCTTCAAAATTTTATGCCTCCAAATCGGTTTGATCAAAAAGTAGGAGGGGGGCCAGGCCCTTTTTTGGCACTCTGTAGAAACGATATATGGAGCTGTTATAAATTAACTCTGATTTGAAATAAAAAACTTTGCGGCAGATTACACCTTAAAAATGACTTCTTCAAATCCTACAATTTTATTCGTGCCATTAATTACCACACTTTATCCTTGACTAATCTTGAATTTTTCTATTGTTTTGTTACAGTGGCAGCCGCCAGTTGCAGTCAATATGGTAAGTTCTGAATTCAACATAATTCCTAAAGTACTCAAATTTTAAAGAACAAAAATTATAATTTGAATGGGCAAATATAGTGCAATTTAGCGATTTCAAGTTAACCCTTTTCAATGTGTTCCGTAAAAGACTTACGCAAACACCTCATTCCTCTTAGCCGGGTAGGGGGGGCGGTAAAAACTTAATTAACTTTTATTCAATTTGTTTCATTAAACGTGATCAAACTTTTTATTTTTAAGTAACTTTTTACTAATTTAAACTTTTTATAACCGGATCAAACTTTTTGTTAATTTAATTTTTAGTGGTTGTTTTGCATGTTATTTTCTTTGAAAAGAGCCTCTCCATGATCATGATAAATATATCGAGGGGGGGGGGGCTGTGACTGTATAAAAGTTGTATTTATTGCTATAACAATCCTAGTAAGCTTGTTCAGTGATTTTTAATTATTGAATTTCTGAAAAATATAGAGTGCACATGGCTCTCAATAATTTTTCCAGATTTGTTGAGCACTCTCTGCTTTCCACAAATGCAAGAATCTAAAGTCACTGAATAAGCTTATTATGTATTTTGTACAGAAAAAATTTGAATTTATTAAGATCGTACTTTTGGATTTTGAAAAAAGTGATGTGTTGGTAAACTCACATGGTGTGGAAAGCTTTTCTACCATGCATCATCCTCATTCAATATTCGGTGCCAAAACAGAAACTACGCTGTGATTAAAATTGATACGCTGTGATCAAAATTGATAGTTTCCAGCCACACCACATCATGATTCTATTCTTTACCATGAAAGTCGACAGCTGAGTCATTTTCTTACAATTCTTAGGCTAAATTCTCAAATAAAAAGATTTCCTGATATGAAAAAATCCACGGGAGTTTTCATTTTGTGGAAATGTAGGAAATGGGAGAGAGCGAGATAGATGAGACACAGTCCTCGCTCGAAAGCAATCTAATTATTAAGGGACTCAACTTTTCAGAGACCTCTTGCGTTACCATAGAGTGGAAAAATATAGAAGTTTTCTCAATATATTTAAATCATTGTAAAAATTATTCTTTTCAGGCTGGCAAAACGGAAACGTTTACAAGTACGACGTTAACGGACGCACCCTGACCGCCCTTAACCAAGTTGCCGACCAATATGCCGGAGTCCTCTTCAGAGCCAACTTCATCGTCCAACCTCTCTCCAGTGACAGATTATCCGCCCAGGTGGGTCTTACTATCCTCACATTAAACGGGATTTCACTCTTTTATTTCTGCGTCCCTGAAATTGGGTTTAAGTACGTGTTAAAAAACCCTCTCTGTTGTAAGGCGTATAAACTAGAATGTTGGCAATCATTAGCATCTTCTCGTCTTTGTCTTCGATGGGAATAAAAAATCAATACAATGACTAAAAAATCCCCTATTCTCTTTACGGCGAGCGTTAAAAATAGTATTTAATTTACTGCACTTTCAGTTTTTTTACCATCGCAAATTTGTGTGGATGCAATTTTTCATCAACCTCGAGTTCTTATTTAGATGAGGTTAGTTTTGTAAAGCATAGAGTGGAGGGGGGGGGCTACTGTTTCCTCAAGCCACTGAAAACCATCACACTCCTGTGAAGTATGGATAGACATCCCCCCTTCCCCTTCCTTTAAGGAAAATTTTTGTTAGTTTATGAAGATGTAAATACATTCGTTTTAGCTAATTTTGAAGTAACGGTTCCTGCGTCTTACATTCATTTTGGAACTGTAATTACGGGTATAAATCATGGTACCATCGCAACCTTCTTTTTCTTGTTTATCTTTTCTATCTTCCTCTGATTACGGGTTTCAAGGTTTTTCTCCAAGTCAGGAGTCAATAGCCATCTGAAGACAAATTAAGTGCTATTAGGATAGGTTATGGATCGTATAGGTTATAGGTAGTCTTAGGAGTACTATCACGACCTCAGTAATGATTATGGTTTATTTTGTTTCCAGATCCAAAATGCCGAAATCGCTCAAGTTCACACTGAACTCCCTGCTGGTTATGAATCTCACATTCCCTCCAGTCAGTTGAACTACAAGAACATGCCCCTCAGCGAACAACCATTCGAAATTAACCTGAAGCAAGGAGTTGTCTCCAACCTTCGCGTTAACAAGAATGTCTCCGACTGGGAACTCAACATCATCAAGGCTGTTGTGAGCCAAATCCAAGTTGACACCCAAGGTCAAAACTTGAAGAAATCCAGCCACAACCAACTCCCCAAGGAAAACAAGCCCTACGGTGTTTACAAGACCATGGAAGACTCCGTCACCGGTGAATGTGAAACTCTCTACGATGTCTCACCTCTGCCAGAGATTACCCTCCAAACTAGACCCTGGTTGGTTCCTTTCCCCAAGCTCCGTGAAAACGGACAAGTCATCGACATCGTCAAGACCACCAACTACAGCAAATGTGAAGAACGTTCTGCCTACCACTTTGGTATCACTGGTCTCACCAACTGGAAACCCGCCAGCAACCAGATGGGACAGTTCCTCTCCGTAAGTCTCAGCAGTTATTTTTGCGTTACCTTCTGGTGCCTTAAAGCTTGCGGATGCTTTAAAGTCAATAAATTTTATTTACCACTGCTTTTTTTCATAGTTTTACATTGATTAAAAAAGAACCTTTGAGCAATTGATATAACACTCCTGATATGAGAAAAAGTATTAAGTAAAATGGACGCGTGACGTCTTCTCTGATGGTAATTTTGTTTAATTTAAAAAGAAAATGAACGCCATTCTCTTCAAAAATTATGGTGACTTTATCCATCCTTGTGCTACTACATGTTTGTGGCCAGTATTTGATCTCCAGAAAATTTGGTAATTCGAATTCTTAGTAAGTAATTTCAGAAAACTGAAATAATCATTTCTCTTGATTTTTGCTTTTTAATTTCAAATGAAACAATTCCCTTTTATTTTTGCTCATGGAACTGAATCATAAAATTTGACTGTAATATAATCAAATCTATTGTTACTACAACACATCTCTTGCGTTTTATTAACGCTGAAAACACTAAAATTGATTTATTTTTTTCAGCGCTCCAACATCAACCGTGTCATTATCTCCGGCAATGTGAAACAATACCACATCCAATCCTCTGTCTCTACCAACAAAATCGTCATCAGCCCACAGATGTACGAATCACAGAAGGGAATGGTTGTCAGTGTCATGAACTTGACTTTGGCCTCCTTCCACCAATCCAACGGATCTCCTCGTATGGTCTCCAACGCCCGCAAGATCAACAACTTGGTCTACGACTACAACGCTGCCTCCCCAAATGCCGACGCTCAACACTACAACAACAATGGTGCATCTAGCAGCAGCTCCTCCAGCTCCAGCTCCAGCTCTGACTCATCTAGTTCCAGCTCTAGCTCTAGCAGCAGCAGCTCCTCCTCCTCCTCTTCCAGCTCAAGCAGCAGCTCCGAAGAAGACCAATACTACAGAAGACACAACAACAACAACCGCAACAACAACAACAACAACAACAACAACAACAACAACAACCGCAACAACAACCACAACAACAACAATAACGCCAACGACAACAACAATTCCGCCAACAACAACAACAACAACAACAACAACAATTCCGCCAACAACAACAACAACAACAACAAGAACAACAACCGCAACAATGACGAGAACGTCTCTCGCAGTCGCTCCCGCAGAGATATCTCCCAATACAAATACAACAGTTTTGAAAACAACAACAACAACGACAACGAAGACGAAAAGAATAACAGTGGCCGCAACGGACACAACGGACACAACGGAAACAACGGACACAACGGAAACAACGGACACAACGGACACAATGGACACAACGGAAACAATGGACAAAACAACAGCAATGGCAGCTCAAGCAGCAGCTCCAGCTCTAGCAGCTCTAGCTCTGGCTCCAGCAGCTCTGAAGAAAACAACTCCCGTTACAACAACGGTAAATTCGCCAGCTTTGCCCGCCACAACGGATCTGGATCCTCCTCCTCCAGCAGCTCCCCCGACTCTTCTGACTCCTCCAGCTCCTCCAGCTCATCCAGTTCCTCCAGCTCCTCTAGCTCCTCCAGCTCTTCCAGCTCCTCATCCAGCTCTGAAGACAACAGCTCCTTTGGATCTTCCGTCTCCAGCAGCAGCGAAGAGGACTATGAACCACGTCCAAGCATGTACAAGGCTCCTCAAACTCCTTTCTTCCCCTACTTCATCGGAAACTACGGTAACAGTATCCAATCCGCTAAACAAGTTAACGGAGTTGCTCTTGCCCGTAAGCTCGCCCAAGAAATTGCTGAGGAATTGAACGACCCACGTCAAATTACTCAAAAAAGCACTTTGGCTAAATTCAACATGTTGGTTGAGGAACTCAGAACCCTGGACGCGAAACAAATGGAACAAGCTTCCCAAGAGCTTCATTTCAACTCCGCCCAGGCCTCCAGCCACAGCCGTCAAGATGCTCTGAAATCTCTCGCCTGGTTAGTATATCCTAATATATAAATTGATAAATAGAATGAAATTGTGAATTAACCTCTGTACTAATTGCAAGGGTCGTTGGACCATTTGAAAGGTGTTGTACTCAATGCTTCGGGAAAATTATAAATTATTTTCTGGGGTTTGTCCCCGATATATTTCAGATATTGAAAAATCTCCCTTGGGATTGTCGTGATATTTCGAATTAACTTGGTTTTTTTTTTTTTTTAGAATTAAAAACTCAATTGAAATCACAAACAAATTCTTGCCTTAGAACTTTCTCCTTTATATTTTTTTGGAAAGAGATGTTATCTAGTTCCCCGTGTATGGAGACTTTGAGTTTGAAGCGCTCTATTATCATTGGCTAATGTTCAGGAATATTTTTAGTTAACCCTCAATTTTTTTAACTTTGCCTGCAGGAAATCCTTCTGTGATGCCTTAGTTGAAGCCGGTACCGGACCTGCCTTTTTGCAAATCCAAAAGATCATTGAACACCAACAAGTCTCCGACGCCGAAGCCGCTCGCATGATCAGCCGTCTTCCAGTCACCGCTCGTTTCCCAGACAAGGAATACATGAACTCTTTCTTCGTAAGTATTACTTCTATCTTGATATTTCCCTACTCGGATTCGGATAACACCTTGAAGAAGCAACGAGTGACGTTGGAAACTTTGTCGGAAGACCGTAGAACGTTCCTTTTCTTATTTTCAGTTTTGAGGCACTAAAAAAACAATCCTAAATCATAAAGTGAACACTTATCTTGTATTTTGAGTGATTTTTTAGTTGAAAAAAATCGAATTTTTTAAACATGAAACTGTGCAACTCGCAATGGTCAAGGATGAAAATATTCTTCCAACGATCACAATTCCTTGATAAATTTATGAATCAATACAAATTTAGATGTAAATTCGATCCGTGAATAATGGCTCATAATGATCCGCATATCCGTTTATTAACATTATACCATTGTGGAAACTTTGAATTGAGGATCATTTTACAGTATAGTTTTCAATTTTTCATAAATAGAAGAAAAAGTGCATTGTTATGAAGTAATTTTAGCGTTGCGTCCAAAAACACATTTCATTTTGCATCATGCTAACAAAATTCTAATTTGCACAATTTTCTTTTTATTCCTTTCCAGAACTTTGTCAGATCCAACAATGTTCAACACCAGAACCAACTCAACGAAACTGCTCTCCTTGCTTTCGCTGAGCTTTGCCGTAAAGCCGATGTCAACGCCAGAAACGCCCACAACTACTACCCTGTCCACGTTTATGGACGTGTCCTCCCAGAGCATGCCAAGGCTGTTGCTCACCAATACCTTCCCTACTATGAACAAAACCTCAAGAGAGCCGTTGCCAACGGTGACAGCCGCAAGATCCAAGCTTACATCCGTGCCATTGGAAACTTTGCTCACCCCAAGATCCTCGAAGTTTTCGAGCCCTACCTTGAAGGAAAGGTCCCAATCTCCAACTTCCAACGCACTGTCATGGTCCTCTCCCTTAACGAACTTGCACGCGTCTACCCCAACCTTGCCCGCAATGTCCTCTTCAAGATCTACCAAAACACCCAAGAAAACCAAGAAGTCCGTGTTGCCGCTGTCTTCTTAATCTTCGGAACCAACCCATCTGCCCAGACCCTCCAACGTATGGCTCAATTCACCAATGAAGACCAAGACCAGCAAGTCAACGCTGCCGTCAAATCCGCCCTTGAAAACGCTGCCAAGGCCCACTCCGAGTCTCGTCAAGAACTGTGAGTATTATCACTACGTTTGTACATTTTTTAAGAAACAGTTCATTCATTAAGAAAGGATGCAGGAATCGAAGGAACAGGGATTGAGGAGTTGGGGTAACATAATTGTTCAACTGATTCCATTACAATGGTAATGGAGGTGTCCTTTGATCTCACGCGTATTAACGTGAAAGTCACAAGATATGATTTCTATTTTTCATTTTTATTTATTTTTTTATTTATCTATTTCATTTTCTATTGTTTTTGTGAAACCATGGTTACATTTTAAAATTGACTTCACAACGCATGAAATATGATTCTAAAAAGTGTACTTGTGAGAGGTAAATCAAAATTTTGTTTTCTTTTCATTTCAGCGCCCAAGCTGCTCAATCCGCTATTGCTCTCCTCAGCCCTAAGACTTACGGTCTTCAATACTCCAAGAAATGGCTCCGCGACTACATCGTCAAGGAAGAAAACCTTGCCTACAGAGTGTCTGCCGATATGATCCAGAGTGAGGACTCCTTAATCCCCAACCAAGTTTACGTTGCCCTTCACCGTTACCTCGGTGGATTCGCTCAACGTGTTGCCAGCGTAAGTCTCCTTAAATCTTTTAAAACAACAATTCCTCTCTTAAGAATGTCTTGGAAGCTCGAATTTACTTTACGCACTTTTCAATTCGCTCTCTTGAGACACAAATATCCGTGAGGATCTATTTTTTCCAAAATATTCAATTGTTCTACGCGTCAAAAAAAAGAAAAAGAAGAGCACAGTTTTGTATGAATGATACTTTCTCCTATCCTGTCGTGAAGCAAAATTAAATGTGTACACCATGATGTTTCCCTGTTGGAAATAGGATATCAAAGTCTCAGAAATATTTCAAATAATTTTGTACTACTGCATTAATGAGGAAAATCGAGGGGCTTGGATGACAAGGCGCATAAGTACAGTTTTTGCTATTTCCAGAAACGCGTGTTTGAAGTTTGAAATTACATGAATCCTTATGGCGGAAAGAAAGTACAAACTGACATTTTGATGCTTAAAAATCAGAATTTGGGTGCAAATATGTCATAGAATATGAATTGAGACTGCTGTGATTACTGTTCGCTAAACGCATTGGTTAATGAGAATTCAACTTTTTCTTTTTTAGTTCAGAGCCATGACCTCCAGTGCCAGTGACCTCGTTGAAAAGATCCAAGAACAGTTCACCAATGGAGAAGAATACCAACAACAATCCGAAATGAACCAGCAATTCTCTGCCGAACAAATCTTCAGACAGTTCAACATTAAGCCTGACTACCCACAAGAAGTTGAAGCCCTCCTCCAATACACCGTTTTCGGAGCCAAGCGCTGGGCCTTCTTCGACGAAGAATTCTTCAACCAAATCCCAAGACGTACGTGACTCATTTTTCTACATCAAAATTGCGAGTCTCTCTCGCGGCCCGATATTTAAACTCTTTAAGTTTCGATTTATATCAAGGAGAGCAAATACAATCATTTTTAATTTCATTCAGCATTGTATTATTCTTAGAGAGTAAGTAGATCCGATGAAACATTAAAGCTGGAGAAAAGTAAATCGAGCGGCTGTTAAGGAAGTTGTGCCATGAATATATGTGGACTCACTCTCAGAAATTTTTCAATTTTGAGCTCTGATGTGTCAGAACCCTGATGGAGTTAACTCTTTAATGCATCCTTTAACGTTTTGTTTGTAGGTCTGAACGATGCTCTCTCTAAGGTTCAAAATGGACAATCTTTCAACTCCACCAAATTCTACAACGACATCTCTCTCTCCCTTGCTTTCCCCACTGCCACTGGTCTGCCATTCTCTTACACTCTCAAGGTCCCCACTCTCGTCCAAGCCGGTGGAGAAGTTCAAGCCAGAGTTCAAGGTCACAACTCCAACAACAACAACAACAACAACAACCTCTTCCGTATCCCTGAAGCTGTTAACGTAACCGCCGAAATTGAAATTGTGTAAGTTTTCGTTCCTCCGCAAAGTTCCTTAGATTTTCATTCCAGAAGAATCAAAACATTCAAACCTTGATAATTTCTAGAACATTCATTCCTGACCATATCTCCAATATTTTAACCATTCTGCAGTACCTGAAGTATTAGTTGGAGAAATTTCATACCGAAAAAGTTCGAAGATTCGTACAGATATTTTGCTGGATTGGAATTGGCTGGAAGTTGGCGGCAAAACTATACATATTTTCACACCTACTTTAGTCGGCTTTCACAGTTAATTCAGTACTGCTTCATGTGTAAAGAGAAATGTTAGTACGTGGCATACTACAGCATGATTTAGGATTCTGAAATTTTTGGAAATAAGCTTTCAAGTACAACAAGTATTAACAGTTTGATTAATTATGAGCCAATTATTACGTAGTTCAATATGTTCCAGCCTAATTATTCACACTTTTAAGTGCTCAAGATGATATTTGCAATGGTGTTTTAATTTTGAGAAATTATCCAACAATTTTTTTACTTCTTTCGTCATCTTTTCATGCCTCTCTTTTTCAAACAGTTACGCCACTGAATTGAAATCTGAACTTGGATTCGTCACTCCATTCAACCACGAACGTTACGTTGCTGGTCTTGCCAAGAACATCTTTGTTAACATCCCAGTTAAGGTCGCCGCCAATGTGGACATCGCCAACACCAAGGTCGAATTCTACATGAAGCCTATGAACAACCAGAACGAACAAAAAATCTTCCACTACGGATCTTACCCTTACACCGCAATCCAAAACATCTTCGACTTCCGCCCCCTCCAAGAAAACGAAAACACTAAGTACATCTTCGCCAACGAGAACAAGAACAAGGTATGAAAAATTGCTTGGCTAAATTAATTTTATGAGTGGACATTACGAGAAAAACCAACAATTAAAGTAAGCGAATATTATCTCATCACACCAAAAAAACATCCGGTACAGGATGGCACGATGCACAATACTAGATGTATTAATTGAAAATACCAAAGAAAGTATTCGTTTCAATTAAAATTTGCATTAGCTTTTGACTGAAATGATGATGAATGGTGTATTTTTTGTCTCGATGGACAATGTAAAATTTCCGTGCAAAGAAATGTTCTGTGGCACGAACATTAATCTTTACAATCGAAAAAAATCTTCCAATTCTTAAGATAATGGGAATTTCAATTGATTCACGATTCTTTTCCAGTTCGAGAAAGTCTACGGTGAAGAAAAGACCGGTTTTGCCTTCCGTTGCCAATACAAGGGTGACCAACAAAGCTTCCAATTCGCTGACTTCTACAACTTCGCTAAGCGTAACGATTTCTTCTCCGCTGCTTTCTTCCCATGGGCTGAAAAGACCATCCAATACAACAACTTCGATGTCTACTATGACCCAGCTAGATCTGCCGCCAAATCCGCCAAGTTCGCCTTGAACTATGGTAAGTAAATTATTTCATTCTTTTTCACTGCCTCTAAGATATAGAACTTTGGAGAAATTGATTTTAATCTAATGACCACCTAATTAAAAGTAAAAAGACAATTACTCTTCGGTGAACATCGATATCAACAGTCTCCGCTTTTCTTTGAAAGTTTGTGTTATAATATATCTTGATCTTTCTAAAATTCAAAATATCATATTTTAGTTACCACTACATACAGAAAGGTACACTCCTCGCGCCCCTCTTACACAAATGTAATATTTGATAAATTTACGTCATACTTTCTACAGCAAAATAAATTTAATCCTAGTACTTTTTTCAACTGTTTGGCGTGACTGCTCTCTTTATGTACATGAATGTCACTACAGTATTTTTTCTCTGAATATTACAGCCAACAAATACGCCAACAAGGAAAACAACAACGAAGGTAACTCTAACAACCACAACAACAACCAAAACGATGCTGTTCCATCTTCCTACCAACCTGACAACGAACAGAGAATGAACCAATTCGCCAGCCGTGCTCAATCTGGAGTTCAAAGTGAGTAAAAATTGTTTTAACTACTTTCGAAGTATCAAAGTGCCTATCATTGTATTTCCTTGTATATGGGCAATTATAAAAAATAAATTGTTTTATTCGACAACCATCCCATTTCAGCAGGGAAGAATTTTTAAATTATTGAATTAGGAGTGATTCTCCCCATGCAGCAATAGTTGCAGCTATCGGGTATTTGAGAATGTTTTATTTTAAAATTGAAGTACATTATTCCTTTAATGTCGAGATAATGCCTTAACAATGCAATTTTGCATCTTTCTTTAAGTTTTATTATCATCACTCCATACTTGTCTTGTTTCTATTTTTAATAAAACCTTCCGTTAAATCACCCGTTGCTGCTTTTAAAATTTCAGGTGCCAACATCGATGTTATCGACATCTCTGCTCAATTCTTCGGACAAAAGAACGCTGATTACGTCGCCACTCTTGCTTACGCTCGTAGCCCAGTCGCTGAAAAGGCTCGTTTCCTCTTCTACGCCGGTGCTAACAATGCCAACAACAACAAAAACAAGGTATTACCGGAACTTATGCAAGCATTTTATTTTCAGTGCTCAAACTCCTCTATTTTAGTTCTTTTGTCAAAAATAATGTTTTCTCAAAACATCCTTTCCAGCTAGTTTTCATTACTTAGAACACGTAACTGACGTGTCTGTCCCAATAGTCGCATCAGTTGCTTACGGGCCGCGATAAAATTAATTTTTGACCCAAAAATTTTTTGTCCCTTGAAGTAAAAATTTACTGTTACAAACCACAGATCAAAACTCATGTGCACTCTCTTATTTATTCAATTGCAAATTAGTCTTGGCTTTAGGTCAATGATTAATCCAATTTCGTTTTTCAGGTTGCTGTTGACGCCACCGCTTACATGCCCAATGTTCCTCTCGTCAACGCCGCTCAAGCTTTCAACGCCGACGCCAACTCCCGCTTCTACGCCAACGTTAAATCTGGAGAAAACCTCGACAATGGTGCTCAATTCCAATTCCAAGTAAGCTATCACGTTAAGGCTGTACTATTTCTTCGAAAAAAAATTAATTGTAGCACTTTAGATCCTCATCAGTACTCCCCACTTTCTTTCTCAAAAGTATTTAAAGGCGTTGCGCCCCTTTGACATGAACAGCTACCATGTTCGGACAACTGATCTAATTGCTTTCCTCTTGATTTGAACAGTGAGTTGAAAATTATTGGATTTCTGACTCCTGTCAGGAGATCTTACATGGAGTTCGAGATGACTTCGGATATTAATTTTAATTTCTTTCTTTTTGCACAATAAGACATTTAAATATTTTTTCTTCATATTCTTTTTTTCTCTCCTGCTCAGCTATTAATCTCTTGTTTTACAGGCTAATATGAAGCAAAGCCAAGAGTTCCGTGACTACTTCCGCCAAAGCCAAATGTACAAACAGTGCTCTCAACAAATGGAACAAGGAGAATACATGATGCCTGCTTGCCGTAACGCTACCGTTGCCGCTAACAGATTAAACGAAGCCCACTTCTCCATCAACTTTGACAAGGTGAGTGAATAAACATGTATTAAACAGTTTCACTTCCATTTTAAACAGGATATATTCCCTTGATATGGCTCGAAACTCCTGTAAAAAAATTATTTCAGCAGCTCTGCGTATTTTTCAGATTTTCTTTTCTTTTTACCTTCTTTGTGCTTATTTCATCCATATATTGTTACTTTATTTAAGGTAATTCAAATTTCCATATTTCCTTCAGGTTTCTGATGCCGTCAAGAACTACACTTACCAAGCTTTCGCCTACGCCCGTCATTTAGGATACCAATACCAGTCTGAAAACTTCGGAAACCCCAATGGCCAACACAACAAGATTGATGGTTACTTCAAGTTCTCCCCTAAGTTCGACTTCGCCCAGTTCTACTTCAACGCTCCTTCCGTAGCCGCTTCCTTCAAGAACGTTCCAGTTCACCAATACGTCGCTGACTTTTTCGCCCCCCACCCCGTCTACTCTGGCTTCGACCGTCTCATGCAAGACACTTTCCAAGCCAAATACCAAGGTAAGGATTATAGAAGCAGCTCCGCAACTATTCTTACCGTCATCATCAGTTTCATGAATTCTATAGACTTTTTGAAGCGTTACAGCAATTTTATAGTTCATACAATTACATTTGATTTGTGATTGACATTGGTGAGATTTGACTTACCTACGTGAGATAAATTCCACCTCACGTGTTAGAAAGTCATCTTGTAACGTAGAGGGACGCAATATAGCTTTTCTTCGATGGTTATTTTCATAATAATTTTATTATTGAATGACAATTATTGCGCATTAAAAATGTTATGAAACCCTCTGAATAAGCATGCCATCTTTCAACTTGAGCTGAAAAATACACTCTCTGAATTTTTGTACCTTCCATCGTCATGATCTTGAATTCCTATTATTTCAGCTGCTTGCGTTGCTGACAAGATGCACGCTACCACTTTTGACAACAAAACCTACCCCCTTCACATGCAACAAAACAACTGGTACGTCCTCATGACCTACGTCAACAGGAACAACTACTACAACAACCAATACAACAGCTACTTTCAAGGAAACAATAAGAACCAATACAGCTACAGAGACTACAACCAAAAGAGATTCTACACTACCGTCTATGCTAGACAAAATAGCAACGGCCAAAAGGTAAGTGATCTTTCCAACATTCTTAACTCTTGAATGACTTAGCATTCTAAAAACAATTAATAAAACGAAACCATTGCTGAGTTGATACTAAGTTTAATGCTGTCTTAATTTGATTGCTTCTATAAATGTTTGGCAATCGCTTTCATTCGACGTAACTCATTCACTTGATTTGTATTGAACTATTTTAAATAACTGCATTCTTGTCACTGTTTGGTTTGAATGAAAATACGTCAAAATTAACTAAGGAAAAATACACAAATGAAAGCCTAATACCTTAATAAAACAAAATAACGACAAACAGAGAATTTTAGCAAATGATTTCGAACGACTAGAGCAAAAGTAGTTGATTGTTTGTTGCATTTGACAGTACCAACGTTTTCCATATTACAGGAATTGAAAATTGTCCTGAACAACGGAGAATACGAAATCTTCATGCAACCAGCCTCCTCTCAAGCCGGTCTCCACAGCTCTAACTCCGGAAAGAACAACGCTGCCATCAAGGTCTTCATCAACAAACAAGAACAACAATTCAACGACAAGCAATTCACTGACTTCCACGGACACAATGGAAAGATCTACGCTCAATTCTACGCTCTTCCTGATGGTGCTATCCGCTTCTTCGCTCCCCAATCTGGACTTCAAGCCATCTATGATGGAGCTCGCATCAAGATTCAAGTGAGTACAACCTCTATTCTTGCAGGCAATTGAAAGCCAGGTCCATTCTTTCGGTTGGACATCAAAACATTGGATCCGAAAAGATTTTACTCGTAAAAATGGAACTTTTCTCTTCCAAAGCTCTAATTTGTACGTTCAAACTCTGCTAAATAGTATTGTGACTTAATCTGTAAGAAAAGAACTTACCAATGGCTGTGAGAATGTAGTGTTTTTTAGTTTAAAGGTCATTAAGACAATTTTTCTCCTTAAATGAAATAAATAAAGGAATTTACAATTGCAAAATACGTACAAGGAATGTAGCCATGACGTGTGAAGGAAAACTATATCATGTAAAATGAAGCATCGTTACTTACAATGCTCTGAAGTTCTGATTATCGTGCAAATCGGTAACTTTTACCTTTTACTGCTTTCAGGCTGCCAACCAATACAGAGGTGCTGTCCGTGGTATGTGCGGAACCTACTCCAACCAATACGCTGACGACTTCACCGCCCCTCAAAACTGTGTCTACAAGAACCCAGAAGACTTCGCTGCCGTCTACGCTGTCATTGACTCTTCTTCCCCCTCTCAAGTGAAATCCCAGAAGGAACGCGCTCAGCAAAACTTCTGTGCCCACAAGAACAACCAATTCGGAAACTACGTTAGCCGCAGCGACGCCGGATACGGATACAAATACAACAACAACGACAAATACTACGAATCCGCCTACAAGAACACCAAATACTACGACCCCTCCAACTCCCAGTACAACAAGTACTACAAGAACAACAAGTACGCCAAGGACCAGGACTCCTCCTACTCCAGCAGCAGCTCTTCATCTAGCGACTCTAGCAGCAGCTCATCCAGTGACTCCAGCAGCAGCTCCTCTTCTTCCTCCTCCAGCTCATCCAGCTCTAGCAGCGACTCCAGCTCTTCCCAGTCCAACGACAACAACCGCAACAACAACAACCGCAACAACAACAACCGCAACAACAACAACAACAACCGCAACAACAACAACAACCGCAACAACAGCAACAACAACAACAACCGCAACAACAACCGCAACAACAACCGCAACAACAGCAACAACAACAACAGCAGCAGCCAAGAAGCCAGTTACGAACAGAGAAACCAAAACGGACCCTCTATCCGCAAACTGTACCGTGCCATCAACCAAGGAGACGACATGTGCTTCACCATCAACGCTATCCCAACTTGCAGATACCCAGCCAAGCCCGTTGGAAGCGCCAAGAAAATGGTGAGTAGCCAGTACTTACCCGTTACATTCTTTGGGCAAGGCGAGCTCTATACTTAATTTTTAGCAGCACGTAGGAACACGTGTAGCATTAATTTTCAGGGCCCACATAACTTTTTCTACCGAAAAGTAAATTTCCTAAACGGTGCCCATTTTTAATTCGTCTCTGAATTAGCCAATTATTTACGTGTGGCAAACGGCTCATGCTTATTAACTTATAAATTAATGCTCACATTTATCTTTCGTCCAACACCAAGCCTCATACAAATTTACGAATTAAAAAAATTCGTAATTTCAAAACGGCATCAGTTGTTTAAATTTATCTGAATTTCATTCATACGCTTGCGACATGTTTATCAGCGCAAATCTAGGGCTCACGTCAAAAGATTCAAGGAAATTAAATCATTCCGACATTTTGAAGAAAATGAAGCAGCATAATTATTCAGAGGGGCATGTAATGTACTTTTTTGTGCTAAAGAAGTACAATCAGAGAAGAAGATCATATCAACTTTATTAGATTTCTACCAGTAATAATATATAACCGGTATATTTATTATTGTATCTCTTCCTTTCAGGTTGACTTCTACTGTGCTCCCAAATCCAGCTCTGAAGCTCAACACTTCAGCAAATTGATTGCCAAGGGTGCTGCTCCCAGCCAATTGTCTCTCAAGAAACCAAACCAAAAGTTCGAAGTGAACATTCCCGAATACTGTGTTGCCTAAGCAAACATACAATGTCTTTAGATTGTACTTAAATTAGTTTTTAGTTATTAATAAATATTGCAAGCATACTCAAACTCTTTTCATTTACCACCATTCAATTGAAACACCGTAATATTGAGCCATTGAACATCCCAAAATTAGATACTTTTAAAAGTAAAACTAACTCCTGAAAGAATGATTATATATTCATGATATGCATAGTCATGTCACCAATCGTTTTTAAGTCACCAAAATTCATCATAGTACGTCAGTTTGTATGAAAAATAACTGGCGACTTAAAGAAGGAAACTTCAACCGCAGATGTCCGTGTTCCCCTAGTTTCAAACAAAACAATTGCAGTTCTTAGAACTGCTTCAACTAATCAAAGTAATATACTGAGTTATGTGACGGAATGTATCTGATCATATATTATGCTAGAGTATTGCTTTTAAACCAAGCTTAATATTATCCCATTCCACTACATACCATTCATACCATTACATTAGAGCGCAAAAAATATTACTAAGATGTACAAATCAATCCTCCTCAAGCACCAAAACTAAAATACAATATACTGCTATCCATATCATTCGTTGAAAAAGCTCAAACTTTCATACATAATTGATAGTCAGATTAATATTTACTTCAATTATTTTTTTACAAAATTTGATTCATCTATATAATAATCTTTAATATCTGTATAATCTGAGAGGTATATTTTTCAAAAAAATTCAAACTTTGATTGAATTTATTGGCGAAAACCCGTCTCTGATAGTTTTATTGAAAAATATACAATTGTTTCCCGAAAAATTCTTATTTTACAAAAAGAATCCGGTATATATTTTGACCGTTTATACGGCGTTTTTCATGAGTGCAATGGTCTAGATGAGTCATAACAGTCATAGAGTTACAGTCTTGAGAATGAGATGAATAACACTCCCGATTTCAAGAAAAAACAGCTCTTAGTTTACGAATTATATCGAGTCTTGTCGTCTGTAAAAGATGGAGTTTTTAAAGTTAAATTTGTCATAAAGTTATCTCTTTCATAATTTATAAATCATTGATGAGGATAAGCAGCCCATGACACATACTTAAAGGACCGTGCAAAAATTACGTAAGGCTCCCAGGGGGAGGAGGGTTTCTAATAACCTTACGGTGCCTTACGAGGGGGAGGGGGGAGGGGGGAGGGCTGAGCCTCCCGTAAGCTTACTAGCCTACGTGTAAAGAAAATTCAAAAATCCATTTTTCGTCAGGTTGATAATAAATTCAAGATGAAATAGAGGAAATCAGCACGTCACCGATTGCTGACGGATCGGTCCATGCTCCTGTCATTTCTCTGGATTCCCACTTCTCCACTCCGTTGGATGATGAGTGGTCACTTCATCCTCACGTCAACTTTCTACTTTTAATTGCCCCAAAGAGAAGAAAAAAATCTTCAATTTTGCTCCAAGTACTTTTGTTTATTAAACTAATTGTATCATTCATACATCCTATGACCTTACTCCAAAAATGTAGTCTTACTACTTAAAATTTTGGCCTTCAAATTTCAGTGTTTTTTCTAAAATAAACCGTAATGCATAGATCTACGATAGTTGAAAAAGAGGGGGGGGGGGATCAGTCGAGCCTTACGTAATTTTTAGAGGAGGGTAAGATATGCCTGACGGTGCCTTACAAGGGGGAGGGGGGTCTGAAAATGGGAAAAAGTGCCTTACGTAATTTGGACAGCATTTTGCAATTTGGAACTATAAATTCTGGCTCTTCCGAAAAAACACTTATGTGCATAGGGGAACTATTGGCACATACGTTGTTTTTACACTGGGCTAGAATTTATAGTTCCAAAATTGCAAACTGTAGTCCATTTATGGATGGCCCCCTAAGATTAAACGACGCTAAAATGCCGGAAATAAGGCTAAAAAAGGTAAAAAAACTCCAAACAAATTCAGTCAATCACGCAGTCATATCGGTCGAACAAGAATAAACTAAAATTGAATTTTAAAAAAATCAACCAAAACCTGTAAGGCTAGAGAAAATAATTTCTGGAAATACCTGAATCATTAATATTTTAATATTTTCAAAATATAAACTGTCTTCTTGGGAGGAATCGATTCCTCGCTGTTTCATTCGCTCTCTGCAAAGATCACACGAAAAACTATGCATCTTTAATGGTCTTCAACGATCAAATGGACTACATTTTACAATTAGGAACCATAATTTCCAGTCTGGTTTAAAAGTCGGTATGTGCCATTAGTTTTCCTATGCACGTAAGTGTTTTTCCAGATGAGCCAGAATTTATAGCACCAAATTGCAAAATGCAGTCCAAATATACTCGGTGAATGATTGTGGCGACGTCGACTTAAACCGTCTATTTATTGGGAATTTTATCTGTGTCTCGTTCTAAAGATGTGGGTGCGTGCTGAATGAACCCTCTAAAACTGCTGTTGGAAGCCACCACCCGCATACGTAAGATACAGCGGTATAAATGCGTGAAAAGTCTTCGTCGAAATTCATGGCACGCCTGCGTAATATATCTAAGCGAATGAGCACGAGGATGCCAGACCAACGGTTTCAGAGCTCAATTGTGCGGCTGCGAGCTGCCACCAGCGGGCTGATTGTTGAAATTAACAAATAAAGCGATAGACAAAGAAGACTAAAGTGATGTAGAGAGATCCTGTTGGTGGAAGCGGGTGGTTGCAATAGACAAAGGAGGGAGGTAATAGACAAACTAACGGCAACCCACGAGAGACCCTGCGGTTAGTCCATCATTTCCTCCCTTAATCAATAGGAACCACCCATTTCAACCGATAGGATCGCTCCATACTCCCTATGTCATCTCTCAATCGGTTTGTCTATCAATTCCAACAATCAGCCAGCCGTTTAAAAAAAACCTGGAAAAAAGTTTGATTATGGTTTCAAAAAAAAAAAAAAAAAATCACGGTATCTTGATGATGAGCCGGCAAAAAATAAACGAACGTATACAAAGTAGACTTATTTTGCATTTTATGGGAGCTTTTATAGACATTTATATGAACGCAGTTTGTTAAATTTCAAAAATCCAATTTATACATGAAATTCGTCAATATTAAGAACTATTTAGAATCTCATTTGAAAGTTGAGAACAGGCCCTGAATAGAATGCGCTGATTCCATGCTTTGTGTCCTGCCTTGAATTCATTTGATTTGATAATTTCTCTGCTCCATTTCATTCAAAATTCCAATTATTTGGCATTATCCGTCCTCAAAATGTAGGCAATGAATAGGGAGGAGTTTTTTGCACATTTACAACCTTAAAACAACAACCGGTGTACTGCTTGAGCATTAATACCTTTTCCTATTTTCTGGCGAATCGACAACATGAACAACATCGTAACTTCACATCTAGATTTCTGATTGAAGGAAGATGTTGGCTGATTTTAATTTTTATATGAAGAATGTTTTAAAATTTTGGTCGAGTTAAAAGAGTAGGGTTCGGAGGGTTAATGTGGTATGTATATAACAGCTCACGGAGAATAAATTATCAATCACTACCACAAGGAAAGTTGTTCTTTTCGTGAAAGAGTAGAGGGACGTATGAGTCCTCAGCAGAATTTTATTACCTTCAAAATCATTTTTCTTGTCATGATTATCATTGCTCCTTCTTTTATTAGTGACAAAGGAAAGAAATACCTCAAGAACTCTTTTCCTAATCACAAAAAAATTATAATAATGACCAGAAATTATTGTTAAAGTAAAGCAATTTTATTACGTGTTCGTGTTATTCTTTCCTTTTATTCCTTTTTTTTATGGTGAAAAACACAATTCCTTGAGATAGTGATTCAGTACTTTCCGTGCATTTTTTGAATGTTTCTAAGTAAATTTTGACCGAAATATGACAGATTTTAATTGTGAAATTTGAAAAACTGTTACTGTGACGAAGCACACTCCGTTAGGTTTTATAAACTTGAAGTACCAAAACAATGAACTCCTCGTATATTGCTGTAGGTGTATGGACTGCTTCAAGTCATTAGCGAAGAAGATGTAATTTCTGCCTAATTTTCTACGCGAATGACACCTCAAGATCTTTTCGAATTCTTGGATTTACCTTGAGAATAAACATTGAACTTTGAAACGGCAGATTTTTGTTAAAAAATAATATCTCTGGCCTTAAACTATGCCAATTTTTTATGAAGACAAAAACAAGTCAAATAATTATGGACGGTAATATTTTGTGTGCACAAGAAGAAGTTGAACACAACGGTGCATACATTCAACTGTTAGAAGAGGACACTTTAGTCGCACGTCTGATGAGGTCTAAATTAGATTGAATTGAATACAACGAGTGTGAGACAAAGTGGAGAACAACTTCTACTGCCTGCAGAGAGGAAACTTACAGTGACGGCAAAGCGTTAGCGTTTTGACCATCAAACCGTTTGCGCCTTCAACTCGGGGACTAGGCCAAAGATCATACTCCACTGGTATAGTCAGCCCTCCACTCATAAAAAACGATGACCGTTCTCCGCTTTTTGAAATCAGAAGCATTAACTAGATTGCATTTTGCAAAAAGGAATCAAGAGCATTCTCACTAAGATTGTGCAAATTTTTTTACGTTGCAAACCTAAACTGTTAATCTACACAAGTATTATCTTTACTCCCAATAAACCATAAATTCAAGACAAAAATTACCTGTGTAAATTCAATTTTTTGCATGACTTTAGTAATTTTCTCGAAAAAATGTAAGTTGCACAATTCCAGCAACATTGGAATGCTCTTGGTTCCTTTTTGCAAAATGCAATCCAACTCAAAGTATAACAGATAAATCTATTCTAAATAGTGAGGCCTCTATGCGCCATCTTATTGGTGAGCCGAAGCGCCATTTGAACGCATTCCCACTAGTATAGAAGAATTCTATAGGCAGGTCGAAATGAAAAAGCGCTCCCTATCGGCTGAGCGCTTAAAATGGGCTCAGATGTGATGTTGCATAGTATGCCTGACATGCTGTCAAACACGGCTAATGGATCACTGAGTTGCACTCCCTCGCCGCTTTTCCGCTTAGCTCATTCGAAAGATAGGACAAGAAAACGTCACTCTAATTCCATCAGTTTGGGTAGGTTGAG